GAAGTAGAGATTTAGAAAAGCCTACGGCTGTGTCTTCGTTTAAACTACCGATCCGCTGGGATGGAATCATTTATAAGCCCACTGTACAGAAATTCCCCTACACGATTTATACATCGGCACGTATAAAGAGTAGACTAACCATATAAAACTGCCGATCACCGAAACGCATCAGCTCGGCGAACCCGTTCAACCATGAGTGCAAAAGACCATAAAATAGCGAAACAAGGCACACAATGCCTGGTACAATACCGGCGAATAACGAAAGCACGATACTGCGTACTGATAAGGTTGTATACTGTAAAGAAAGCCGATTAGTCGGAAAGTTTGAGCGTCACAGGTTGTTTTCAACAAAATTTTATTAGAAAGGTAAAAGCCTTTCTGTCTTCGAAAAACTCACATCTTGTGAATCCATCCCTGGAAAGACATACTGTGTGAATTGCAAATTGACAAACTCGATCAGCAGTGAAGCATGGGAAGTGCACAGCTGCCTTTTTGAGGCACCTTGTATCATTCTCTAAAATATCCTTAATATAAGGAAAATACTGCCATGGCCGACGGAAATATAGCATTACTGTCGTTTTTCAGCCGTGCGAGTTGCGGTCTTGGAGAGCACAAACAGCTAGAGGTCGCAAGAACTTACTAAAGGTAGTGGGGAGTTATAATTGGGACGTGGAAATTGGACGTAAGGTGCAAACCGTCGAGAGTCTCAAGTAATGGTTCTAAGAAGTCCCTTGCGATATCAGATGAATCATGACTGAAGAGGAGGTCAACTTTTCTCCTGGGAATGTAGCGCGACACTTTCAAGAAAAAGGGAAAAAATATGCCTTAACAAAAGAGGCATTTGGCGCTTGCTTCTTACAATAGTATCTGTAGTCCGTAAAGGTTAGAGATTTCCCTGATCTTTCCCGGAGGTTCCCTTCGTTCCTGTTCCTCGTACCATGGACCAGATGGCGAGCACTTCAAACTCAAAGGATGGGACACCTAATACAATCAGTTTACCACTGCAATGCATCACGGGTGAGAAAATCGCGTAGTATAAACCCTATATTTTATCTGTCGTCCACTGGGAATTGGTGTTATGTTGATAACAACTGTTTTATAGCTTTTCGTGAGGACGAATGCCCTCCAAAAGTTTTCAATGTCACAGAAATAAGAATGGAATCTGGGATTCTAATTTTCGTGTTCTGAGGCAGTTTAAAGAGGGCGAAAATTCGCCGGCCGGGGATGGACCGTTATGTTTGCGTTTGACATCTATAGTACTTGCGTCTTACTGGCATGGAGTCTAGCCCCTAGTCAGAGCAAAGAAAACTACTCTCCGGCCAGGTGGAGACGCAGTGGAGGAGATTCATGCCAATCGGAAGTTGCTAATACGGCCCCTGGTTCTTCGGTATCAAATAGGAACAATAAGTTGACCTACCTCGGATATTCATCCCGGTAGATGAACGACGGACAGAACATGAAGTACACGTATTGCTCCACACTGGGCCATTCAGAAATGGTCCCTGGCTAAATTTATGCCTGTAGTTGCATTTATAGAAAAAAGTCCTAGTTTATGGAAAGAAGGCTGAGAACTGCGAATTACAGGCTTGAAATGGGCTTAAAAGGTGAATGCAAAAACAACCAGCTGGAGACCATTGCAATGTAAGTGTCTTGTGACTGCATCGGGAAGGTCAATGGCAACGTCGATGGTGGATAAAAATTAAGCTTTAGGTGCTGACCAATCCCTTCTGGGATGCGCCACGCACTCCACTCCTTTAAATTGTACCGGCAATTCGAATGCTTTGGACAATACAATGACTTCCAAGGCAAGCCTATGAAGTACTAAGCAGTCTTTCAACCCCGAGAGGTGGATCTTATAGCAATGGAGCAAATACAGGTTTTGGGTTAGTATTTATGAATATTTGCTAACAATACAGTTTCGAGAGGAATACAATAATTAACCATCACAAGTGAATTTTTCAAAGGCAGTTATTTCTTAGCTGTCGACTTACGAAAAATCTATCCCTTCTATATGTTAAATGCTCACCTGTACTACTGCTCCGCTTGTCTTCCTAGCGATAGCCCGTGGCATATTCTCACGCAGAAACGAGTGCAGTTTCATAGCGATTCGTGTCTGCAAGCAGGGACTTATAAGAATGCCAAGTCTATGCTCCAAGTCTCTGCGATCCTTGACAAAATTTGGACTCGTAACGCGAGGAAGGATCAACCAACACCGAGCAATTCACTACTTAGTTTCTTACTAGCTCTGAAGAAACAACTCCTTGAGATGATGTCGTGTCAACCAATCGATACTGTGGGTGGGATAAAGTACGCTGTGTATGGCAGTTGTGCCGTTTGTCGCGGCTCCAAGTGTGGTCGACGGCGCGCTTTAGATGATACAGTGGAGCTGAATGGAGAGGAATCTCGTCAACTCCAGTAGCGTGGTTACAACGTAGCGGGGAAAACATATAAAATTGTAACTAAATAAACGAGTAGGGGACCTCGGATGCTAGAATAAGAGACTGGAGCAACTAACTTCGAACAACTCGTCTGTCGGAGCGGCTCTCCTCGACTAATTATTTAGGTGTGGGAACAGTGCATTCTTGCGAGCCGTTGGGTTTGCCCGTGTTGGGCGTTGTGTATCGCTTCTTGGCAAGGACTGCATTCTGCTCTGAGTGCTTGGTTTGTTCGTTGTGTTCGTTAGAATATTGTCAATGCCAATTTCTTGTATCTAATCGCTCGTGTGCGCCTGGTTATAATCCACTGTCAATTCATGTGTTCTCTCGACTGGTGGGTTGTAATTTCATCAAATTTTCTTTATACTAATTGTATTAGTAGATAATTCCCTCAATACTCACCACCAGTTTCTCTCTAATGAATACATTGAAAGACCACATGGCTGTAACTCATTTGTCTAGTTAAAGGACTATATTTTGTTTATTACCTGTTACTGAATTGATTACTTTTTGAATATATGGTACATTATGTTGAACTGTTACTCAATGAATATTGAGAATTGTATTTCAAATTAGGAGGACAGGTATGGGGTTTGAGATTGATTCGATGTAATTTCATTGCATTTATATATTGCAACCTGAACTCAGGCGTGATTACCCGCTGAACTTAAGCATATCATTTAGCGGAGGAAAAGAAACTAACAAGGATTCCCTTAGTAACGGCGAGTGAACGGGGAGAAGCCCAGCGCTGAATCTTACAGTGTTACACTGTTAAGAAATGTAGCGTATAGATATAATTTTCAGTTTGTGCTACATGTCCAAAGTCCCTTTGATAGGGGCCACAATCCTGAGAGGGTGCGAGACCTGTGCGGACAGTGGAGCAAGCTGTACGATTTATCGTCCTTTAGCAGTCGGCGGGCTTTGTTCGAAAAGTAGGCAGTCTTAAAAGTGCGTTTTGGGTGATCATAAACTGTGACAATACTCAGTGTGGCTTCGATCACATTTGGTAGACCGTCGATTTTTTTCGAGTTGCAGTTCAAGGGATTCGTTAAGATTATCTCGTGGGAAGCGGAAAGTTGCTCAAGAACTTTGAAGTTGAGAGTTCAAGTATGAACGTAAATCGCTGCGAGTGGAACGCGGATTTATTGAGCGAGTCGTATACCGTTAACCGATTGAAGAAAAGGGCAGATGGGACTTTATCTATGTTTCTCCCCTAATGTATGCTATACTATAATTCTTTTGTGACTGCAGGTGATGTATGTTGCCTATGGTTGCGCTGACAGCATTGGCTGTGCGTTCTGACCCGTTTGTGTTGCCCACTTCGGTGGTGTCTTACTTACGGTTAAGTTTGTCATGGCTAATGTTTTATCCTGCTTGCAGGGTGTCAGTGTGAAAGTCGACCACCTCTCCGACCCGTCTTGAAACACGGACCGAGGAGTGTAACTTGTACGCGAGTCAAAGGGTGGTTAAACCCTAAGGCGTAATGAAAGTAAAGGTCGGTTAACCGGCTGACATGGGATCTACTTTTCGAAGTAGCGCACCATGGCCCTGTCTTGTCTGCATGCAGATGGGCAGCGGTAGAGCGTACAGGTTGCGACCCGAAAGATGGTGAAAACTATGTAATAACTT